TCTCACCCCCCCCCCCCCCCCCTATTTCTATCTTTTTTTTTCTTTGCTTTTTTTTAATAAGTAGGGAGAAAACTAGGAAAAGTATATATCAGACTTGTTCTTATATAGACGTTATAGTGGAGAATTGATTGACTTTGTCTTTTCTAATATCCCATTCATGAATTTTTTAGTAAAAAGGAACAAAATGGTACTAGAGCAACCTAGCTCTGGATTTAGTTGAACATGCGTTTAGAATGGAATTAAAAAAAACATATGCTTTAGAAAAATGTAATGTCCATTTATATGCAATGAGAAGCAATTTTTCATCCAACAAAGAAAATAAAAAGAAATTTAAAAAAAACATTGGTGCACGAAATGTTGAAGTTAAAGTTTCTAGGTATATCTTATATTCAAATATTTCATTATGCAAGGAAACTATTCATTTCCATCACCCCCTTTAAAAGCACGAGTTTAGAAAAAACTTTTCATAGTCAATATTACCCTTCACTATTTTAAATATTTTATTTAAATATTAATATATTCTAATCAAAATTATATCCTATCCTAATCTCACATTAACTATCTATAGTTCAATAATTTAAAAAATAATATTAATAAAATATAAAAAATAGCTTCAAGGTATTAGTCTATTAAGGTAAAGAAGTTATATGAAGTTAAAGAAAAAAAAATTCTATAAAGAGTCACTACATAAAATCATGGATCAATTTTAGAAGTATTACAAAAAACCCCTAAAAAGTTTAAAATTACAAAAAATACCATGAAAAGTTCAAAATTATAAAAAACATCCTGACATTAAATTTGTAGTTAACACCTTAATATCTCAAAATTATAGAAACACCCTTAACAGTTTATAAACAAGCACCCTAAAATTCTAAAAACTAAACTAAACTTTTTAATATTTGCAAAAACTAACCTCAAAGTTATAAAAATTGCACAAAAAACTCCTTCAAAATTTAAAAATTGCCAATAAACTCTAAAATTTTGAAAAATTTAACTAGTATACATCAAATCTAAACACTATTGATGGACCACTGAAATCTAAATTTTTTAATAAATAACTCAAATTTTTAATACTTGCAAAAAGCACCTTCAAAATTCTAGAGTTGTAAGAAATATATATCTTGATATTTGAAAATTATCACCAACACATGAAACATAGAATCTAAGTTGATGTTGGTAAACAAAAAAATAAGAATTGATTAATACAAAACATGTTAAGAAATAAAATTTAAAAAATATATATAATAGCTTAAAAATTATCAAGTAATTGTATATAATTTTACTAATATATTGGAATAGAAAAAATACATAAGTAATATTAATTGATAGAAGTTTAAATCCTCAAAAATGATAAAAGAATATAATACAATAGCGTTAATTGATTATAATTTAGAGATATCAACATCTAATGTTAATAATGTTTATAGGGTAAAAGAATACAGTAAATAACGTATAGAGAAACTATCAGAATGTTTAGAGATATCCTTCAAAAGAATCAAGCTATTTCCATTGCAAACAGTGAAGTGATGAAAATAAATCTAAAATTCAGAAAATGTCCATGAATCACATGAATTGATATTAATATAAGACATATCTATCAAAGAAGCATCAACTGAATTCCATTGAAGAATAATTTAATAACCTTGTTCTAATATTCAAAGAAAACTTCTCCATGGAAGATACAAGAAAATTAGTAAGTATTCATAAATTTCATAATTTACTCTTTAAATACTAAAAAATTAATTAATATTATACTCTAAGGCAAATTGAGAATGAAAAATAAAGGTATTTAGTTCAGATCTTTGTGAAAAATAACAGGGATAGAGCAAATGTAACATTATTGACATAGCAGAAACTCTTATTAGATACACATCAGAAAAGTTTATTGTAGAGAAAGAAAAGAGGTAGCTCCTAATCTTATTTAAGAAATAAATTAGGAACAAAAAAATTTTCATATATATGAAATTAACATTTATTCTCATTAAAGCAGGAAAAAAATCAAAGGCTATATTTCAAGAAATTTGTGTCGATCATTAGAAATACATTTAACTTCTTTGTGAAGTTAACTGAGTTGATAAAAGATTAACGAGCCCAAAGAAAGCATTAGAAATACATTTAACTTCTTTGTGAAGTTAACTGAGTTGATAAAAGATTAACGAGCCCAAAGAAAGACAACAACACAAAAAATATTGCTCAGTGAAGTTAACTGAGTTGATAAAAGATTAACGAGCCCAAAGAAAGACAACAACACAAAAAATATTGCTCAAACATGATGTCACAGTCGATATAGATGATGAAGACACTGTTCTAGAATTGCCTAGAAAAAATATAAAGATAAAAAAAGATTGATCTCAACTCAATAAAAAAATAAAACGGAAGGATAAATGATAATATTTTCTGAATATTTATAGAATAGTTTAATTGTTTCGAGCGAAATTATGAATTTTTAGAAGAGAGTTTCATAAACATTTTTTAGTGCTTTTATATCCTTATGTGGAGACTTTTATCAAGTAAAAGTATACTCTAGTTAGCATTAATGTTTAATTTATAATTTTTTATAAAATTTATTAACGATTAGAAATAAACTTTATATTTTTTTTGTATCTTTTTAGCATACTTTTAATTAATTATTTTGCCTTATTGGTTGTAAATATTCATCTTCCTTGTATAATACTATTTTAAAATTTTTTAATTTTTTGCAACACTATACTTTCTCAAGTAAACCTTTGGTTTCATGTGAGTCTAACTAATATGAAAATTCAAATTGGCTTCATATTATATTTGTTGTCTGTCAATTTAATTATTAACATAAAAATTTATATTGGGTGTAGCCCATTTAAATAATATCAAAAAAATAAAATAAATAATCACAATGTTAAAATATAGTGACAAAAGTGAGCAAAAACAATTAAAGTGGAACCAAGAAAAAACTTTTAGTTAGGAAATAAGCCAAAAATACTTAATTATGATATTTAACCACGTGCATTGCACATATATACAACCTTGTGTGTGTGCGTGTTTTTTTTTAAAACACCAATGACTCGGATTTTTAAGCGTACTTCTATACTGATTTTCAGTTGTAAGAAATTTCTAGTTTATCTAAATAATGTTGCTACAAAAATGTAGGATGTGCATCTATCTATATATTGATTCTTGGATTAAACATCACTTGATGATACTTCAGTTTATTGAAGTCTTAAGATCTCTATCATTATGACAAAATTGTGACGAGAGTTTAATGATTCATTTTATATTTAATGGTATATATTAAAGTACCAACTTGTATTCCTGTCATGATTAAGAAAAACACCTTGTGTTATGCACATATTTTAAAAAATTGAATGTGGGGAGTTGTTGTTTTTTTTTAATTTATTCTCTCACATCTCATGTGAAGATCATCTTTTATGTTGGAGGGTTGTCGAGCAGCAGCTGTCTGTATAGTGACTCGTAAAACCATAGGCGAAGTGACTTTTATAAATAACAACCATTTTGGCTGTGCTCGCATGGTTTGATTTGGTTGCTTTAAAAATTGAATTGTATCGAAATTTTTTTCTTTGGATTGTTGTTTCTTATTCAAAAATCGATAAGTTGATTAGGAGTTTTTTCTTATAAGAGATGGTTTGGTTGGTTTACCAAAAAAGTTCGAAACCTATTTTATGATGTGAGACTCATTTTAGAGTTTTTAGGGCGAAAATAAATTTAATGAAAAAGCCGACACGCCAAAGCTATTTACAATATTTTCTGCATGAACTTTACTACATGGACCCAAAATATAGGACCAATAAGAGGGACAAGTGAGGTGTCCCCCTCCTATTGGATAATGAGTTGACCAT